TGTCGTCCACCGGTTTAGGATAGGAGCCGTCGAAGTAGTGGTAGATCTGCGCTGTCTGTAGGAGGAGCTCAAGCTCAAAACTCCATGTATAGAAATATTTGCCGTCAAATGCGGCAGTAGTCTTGATTTTTGAAACACTGAGAAAGCGTGCTTGTGCAGAGTTAATGACTTCATCACTTGGACGGGGGGCAGTTGTTGTTGATTTGTCTGTGTCGAGGGAGAAGGTGTGCGTGGCGGTATCACGGCTTTTCATAGCCGGTTGTCCAGGTTGAGCTGGTTGGGAAGAGGTTCCCGCATCGCCTTTGCGCAGGTCTTGGAGTTCTTTCTCCATAGTTGAAAGTTGAGCGAATAACTGCTCGAGTGCGGCAGTGCCGATCGTGGTTGTCGCCTCATTTGTCGCAACCGAGTTGGTTTGTCCTTCAGCCGTCAGATTTGCTTGGCCTCCGAATCCTCCGGCCATCTTGGTCTTGGAGCGTGTGCCGCTCGCCAGATCTTGGTTCGGCAAATTTCACGGAAGTGAAGATGCGAAGAATCCCTGAGTAGCTCTCATACCATGTTACGATCCCAAGTGGGACTTAGCGAAGGATCGCTCAGGGTTGATCTCAGAGTGGTGTTGCAGCGGAAGTTTGAACCTCAGGTCAGAGTGAATGTAAATGACTGGGTTGATAAAAGCATGCATACATCGGGTTTATATAAGAATACAGGGGAATACGAAAAGACATAGACTAGCCATGTACTCTAAGGGTACATTCCCTTATTACAGCGAAGTTCAAACCGTGCAGCGCGGGAACCCGTTTCAAACCTGTTCCCGCTCTTTTGTCTTCAAATGTTTCTGCCTGCATCGGTTTTGCTCAGACGGTTGTTGTGTCGCTTCGACTCTTCTGACTCCTCGACTTCGTACTCGGTAGAGTCGGCTCCTGTAGCATATAGGAATGCCTTCTCATGTAATCTCATATCGTAACATTTTCTGAATACCACCCCCGGTTTGATGATCAGACCGAGCAACTCAATCAGGTGGTCAAGAAGTTACTACATACAACATGCAAAGACGACACCAGCCACTGCTATCTACAGTTTTCGAGGCTTGAGTTCATTTACAACAACGTATCACACGCGACCACAACAAAAATTCATTTCTTCCTATGCTACGCACGAAAACTAGTACACCACAGCGGCCAACCAATCCAGCACACGTCCATGTCGCCCATAACTTCGTCATCACCATGCAGCAGTTATGGGTAAAAACCCAGCGTGTATGTGTGTGTGTAGAAATGTGTGTGTATGCGTATGTGTATATGTATGTATGTGTATGTGTGTGTGTAGAAATGTGTGTGTATGCGTATGTGTATATGTATGTATGTGTATGTGTATATATGTGTATGTGTGTATCTGTGTGTATGTATCTGTATGCATACGTGTGTGTGCATGCATATGTTTGAGTATGTGTATGTGTGTGTATATGCGCACATGTGTGCGTTTGTGTGTGTGCGCGCGCATGTGCGTTTCTTTCCCCCCCCTCCCTAAAAGATTGATCCGTGATGATCTGTTAGACAAAGAATCTCGTATTTTTCAATAAAGACAGTACTTTTGACGTAAGAATCACATATGCCGATTGGTGTGACCACAAGAGCAGAACCATGACACCACCACATCCTAGTACCAAATTTGCAGCATCAGCAAGCATTAGATTCACGTAGGACACCCTCACACGGGCCATCATGCGATGTTGTTTGCGTGTGCGTACGCGCGCGTGTGTCTGCGTTTCTTCCCCCCCCCCCCCCCCTCCCTAAAAGATTGATCCGTGATGATCTGATAGACAACGAATCTAGTATTTTTCAATAAAGACAGTACTTTCGACGTAAGAATCACAGATGCCGATTGGTGTGACCACAAGAGCAGTACCATGACAACACCACATCCTAGTACCAAATTTGCAGCATTAACAAGCATTAGATTCACGTAGGACGCCCTCACACGGGCCATCATGCGATGTTGTTGTGTAGGACGTCCGTAGGCATATCCCTCATCATGAGGGGGGGGAAAGAAACGCCATGAGGGATCCGACTTGCCTAGTATTTCGACACATCATGCGATGTTGTTGTGTAGGACGTCCGTAGTCATATCCCTCATCATCTTGCCACGTAGGATGTCAGCAGCCCACGACCTCGCGCGTATGACGCCCTGCAACAGCCGACCCGCGATCTCACAATGTAGGATCCCCTGCATTCTATAAACTCACCACATAACACGCCATGTAGCGCACCAGCCCGCGACCAATCGGCTCAGCCTGCAAACTAGCCGCTTAAACCGCGAGTTGTCTTTCCTGCCCGCAAACCAGCTGCACGGGCTATCATGTTATTTGCCAATTGTGAGCTGCAAAGTCACAAGCATAAACTACTACGTAAAAATGCGCCTTGCCTCTTTCGGATAGCTCAGGGCGTAGGGCGCTACGAGCATGAAAGATTGAGGCCTAGGGGACCTGCTAGCCCCACAGAGGCATCACCATCGGGTCCTAAGCCCCTTCATATTGTCGGTTACTACTGAATTTGGGGACATGCTTTCCCTGAACGACGAGGATGACACCGATATTTTGAAAGCTTAATGCTCAAGTTCTATAGACGTTTGGGGTTGCGAGAGCGGTTGCAGTAGGCGGGCTTCGAGGTGCATGTGCATTAACATATTTGCTTAAAAATCTGACGTTAGATATGCTGTAGACGGCGGTGGTCTTAAAATTGTTGGCGTTCCTAGCGAGATGGAGGATCGGGATGTGCTCGTCTGCACTAGTGAATTCGGCAATAGTAGGCACCTTTGCTCCTATTGCTTGAACAAAAAAAAGATATACATCGTCGAGCATCGCAGTACGGCCGGATGTGTGAACCTTCTTGATGCGTGATTCTCTAAAGCTCGCGTCTCAGATTTCCAACCTTTTAACACTTGGTTGGGTTTTCCCGTCTGTGATTGGGTAACGAATGACGAATTATTTGACGAGTGGGTGAAAAAAACACAGCGAACTCCCAAACAGTCGAGGCCAAAACAAACCAGGGTGGGTTGGTTTGGGTGGAAAACGAGCCAAGGGGGACAGGTTTGGTCCCGGGTTCTGTCAACGTTGAGTTCAGAGTCTCATATTTTCGAGAGTTGTTAACACTTGGTGTGCACGGGGAAGTGTGCGACAGCCAACTTTCCCAATCCACCCCTTGCTTTGGTGTGCTTTGCGACAAACTCTGCTGTTACCGGATTCCAACCGTTTAACACTTGGTTGGATGGCAGAAATATGAGACGCGAGCTCTAAGAGCCTCGAACAGGTGCTTGAAGTTGAAACGCTAAGAAATGTCAGCCGTGCCTCTCATGTTCGGCCCCACATCTTCAACTTTTCCATGCATGGCACTTGCAATTGGATGAAGAGGAGGTACATGATCAAATTCGTCGATCCAACCATTAGTCTCGTTATTGTGCTTGAACAAGACCCCTGAATACGAAACCAAGAAAGGTAGCGGTTAGAAATGGCGATTATTGTGAATATAGAAGACCAATACGGTATATCCAAGGTCCACCTTGCGGAATTCGAATGTTGGGGACGGCGTTCCGCTTAGAAATTACCATAGGCAAAAGCTTCTTCCCCATCGTTACGACGACCAGCCGTTGTTCTTTCTTGTTGCCAGCGCTGCGGATCTGAACCGGGCCTTTCGTGGGGCATTTTGAGAAACATCGGTTCTTGCCGGGGTTGACCATGTTCCACGGTTTGATACCGATGTCGACCACACAAAATGAGTTTAGGGTTGGGGTTCGTGGGTTGGGTTTTTTTTAATCGCGTGTAACTGTGCACGGTCGACACCATGCAGCACGCCAGCAAAGAAGCGAGGTAGGGGATACGGAGGCATTACATTGGCGGTAGACTATGCAGGGATAGATCCAGTTCGCTAACCAACTGGGATGAAATTCATTTCCCTTTTGTGAGTTAGTGCACGTATACCCCCCAAGGACGACACCTGTAACCCTTGGGGGGGCCAGTTCGGGCCATTCCAGTATCAATTAGGCCCACTCAGGGCCATTAGGTGACAATTGGTCAACCATTAGCGGGTTGGGTACCGAGCAGGCAACATGCAAATGTACCACACACCTCAAATGTTTTCGAGTGTGTCGAAGGCGGACTGCTCTCTCTCCCCCCACTGAAAATTTGTGTCCTTGTGTAGGAGGTCGGTTAGCGGCTAGGTAATCCCTGCCATATTGGGTACAAAACGGCGAACGTAGTTAAAACCCGCAGTCTGAATGACAAAAGCGAGTCAACCATAGGCTTGGGTTAGGTTGGGGTTCGAGCAAACTGAGGTTCGTAAGTTTAACGAAAGTTGCACCCTAGCGAAAACAAATTGCGACAACCTGGTGTCCCACCAAGCGAACGACTCTGAGGGGAGTGCCTGCACATGCTAAAAGAGGGAAAACAAAAGCTCCTCGACATACCTTACACCAGGTTAGAAGCAAATAGTTTGGCTTCAAGTAGGAAAACGAGCCCATGCCACTAAAACGACCGCATACCTTCCATGTTTTGCAGATACATCGCACGCAGGTTCAAGCCTCGTCGCCCACGATTTTAGGGTTTTTTTTGCGCGTGTAGTAGCGACTTCCGGCGACGCCCGCATTTAGCCTTCCCGTCGCCCACATTTAGCATTTCCGTCGCGTGCGCGAGCCATTCCCGTAGCGCTAATATCCCCTACCCGTCACACGAAGGTCGCGATCCACCCGCCATTTTCCCTACGATTTGCGACCGCATTGCGCACACGAATCGCCCTCATTTCCGCGTCTCAAAACGGCCGCATTACCCATTCGACACGTTAGCTATAGGCGACGCCAACGGCAAGAAATCGCCTTCCCTGTCTACTGCTGGTCCCCTTCTCGTCCGCCGGCCTACCCTTTTCCGTCGACCCCACATCCCCTTTCCGACGTGAACATATCCCCTGCCCGTCGCTCGCACCGCGCAGCACTGTCTCCCGTGAAAGGGTGAAAGGTCAACATCTCACCCCTCCCCTTCTGTCTCGCAGGCGCACACCCTCTATTGCTGTCGCAGGGAGATGAGGGATGGGAAGATGAGGGATGGGTAGATGAGGGATGGGGAGATGAGGGATGGGGAGATGAGGGATGGGGAGATGAGGGATGGGGAGATGAGGGATGGGGAGATGAGGGATGGGGAGATGAGGAATGGGGAAATGAGGGATGGGGAGATGAGGGATGGGGGGATGAAGGACTAATAGATGAGGGATGGGAAAATGAGGGATGGGGAGATGAGGGATGCGGAGATTAGGGAGATGTACGCGTATGCGACGGAAGCGGAGAACGCCTTGTCGAGGGGAGCGTGCGTGCGTGGGCGATGGGAGGGGAATGATCGAGGTCGTTCGGGGCGGGGATGGGGAGGAGATGGGGTGAGGAGGAGCTTAGGATTGGAGGGATGGGAACAACAGGGGACGGAAACTCTCTTGAAACCCATGTGCTGATGCCACAATCTGCACAGCGGGGATGTGGAATGGGAGGCGGAGAGAGAGGAGAGGTGGTGACGAAGGAGAGGAGGTGAGGGAGGAGAGAGAGGAGAGGGAGGGGAGGGAGGAGAGGGAAGTGAGGCCGGAGCCGAAGGAGAGGAAGGAGAGAAGGAGAGGGAGGCGAGGGGGCACGTGAACAGGTAAATGATGCGCCAAGGCAGTGTGGTGGTGAGAAGGAGGCTTCCGATCACTGGAAAAGTGGTTCTGAGAAGGGAACTAGGGTGGAGATGAGAAGAGATAAAAGGTGGAGGTGAGAAGGTAGAAAGGGTGGTGATGAGAAAGGAGTAAGGGTGGTTTTTACCGGGAGTGAGGGTGGAGATGAGAGGGGATAAAGGGTGGAGATGAAGGGGGAAAGGGTGGAGGCTGGGTCGTACGAGTGTGTGACGGCAGGGGAGTGAGCGTGGGCGACGGATGGGGCCAAACGCGACGGGAGTGAGAGACCGTGGGCGGCGGAAAGGGAGTGGGCGAAAGCGACGGGAGGGGGGTGAGCGTGGGAGACGGAGGGGAGTGAGCGTGTGCGACGAACGGGCATTGAGCATGGGCGACGGAATGGTAATGAGCTCGCTTCCCGTCGGAGTGAGCGTGGGCGACAGGGGAGAGTGAGCGTGGGCGACGGAGGGGAGTGAAGGTTTGCGATTGTGAGGAATGCGCGTGTGCGACGGAGGGGACTGTCGCGACGGGAGGAGGGTGGGCGGTGGAAGGGGAGTCAACGAGCGCGACGGGACGGAGTGCGCATGGGCGGCGTAAGGGGAGTGAGCGAGCGCGACGGGAGGGAGTGAGCGTGGGCGGCGGATGGGGCGTGAGTGTGGGCGACGGGAGGGAGTGAGCGTGGGAGGCGGATGGGGAGTGAGTGGGCGCGACGTGAGTGAGTGCGCGTGGGCAGCGGAAGTTGAGTGAGCGAACACGACGGGAAGGAGTGCGCATGGGCGGCGGAAAGGGAGTGAGCGTAGACGACACGAGGGCATGGTGATAGAGGGGACGATGGAGCGGAAAGAGCAAAGGCGACGAGAGGGAAGTGTGCGTTGCAAACGGTTGCGAAAATGAATCCGCGACGGGAGGGATGAGCGTAGGCGATGGAGGGACTAACCCTAATGTGACGGGAGCGCGTCACAACGTGCGCGGATCGCGATTAAAACTGCACTAGTTGGAGAGAAAAAGCCAGATCTAAGTAGAACGCCAGGCTATTAGTAGGCTAGGAGTGCACACCCAGCTAATAGCTGTAGGCTAGGGTCGAACGATTTCTGTCGACCTGAATTACAATTTCCTGCTTGGTGTGCACACCCACAGCCGAAGTCATTGCCAGGGACCCTTGCGATCCTTCCCTGTGTTGCGTGCAACTTCCTCACGGCAAACTGGTTCGAACCCATGTAACCACCTAGGTTTGGGAGGGAAAGTGTTAACAAAACCCAGAAAACTTCGCAACTCGGAGACATTAGACGGCGGCTTCCACTTAGCAATGGCGTCCACTTTGCGGGGGTCAATTTTAAAGCCATCGCCCGAAACTCCAACTCCGGTTTTAGGAACTCGCACTTAGAGCCCTTGGTGATAAGCCGGTTCCCCTGTAAGCGCCGGAACACCTCCTCCAAGTCCTTAATACGTTCTTCCTGCATCTTGTTGTACACAAGGATGTCGCCAAAATATACGATGAATTTTTTGTCGAGCTCTGGTTGGCTAAGCCGCCACTGCGTGGGTATGCGCGCCAGGTTCCAGCTGGATCTGATGATCTTCCGGACGCTGATGTGGCAGACCCTCGGGTAGGTCATTCGCGAAAATTTTGGGATACCACCGAATAATGCTCGCCAGCTCCTCAGGGACTGCCGCGCAGAGCGTGACGATGTCGACGTTTTTTTCGGTGGCTGCTACCTCGTACAAGTGTACAGCGTAGCCTTGATCCCCACTGTTGATCGCTCGCCGCTTAGTGACGGCGTTGACACGTGTCCTCACAGGCTCTGTGTTCGTCCATTTCAGAAGCGTCGTCAGCCCCGCGTTTCCTCGCACGGCGCACGCTCCCCTCGTCCAGTCTATCGTCGGGTTATATCGCTGCAGCAAGTCTCGTCCCAGCAACACATCGCAACCGTCCAAAGTCGCCGCCAGCATCTTCATGCCGAACCCGAAATTGTCGCCACACTTACCGAATTTTCCGCGCTTCATCTCGAATGACCAGCGATGTCCCGTCCACCAACCTTGCATCAATCTCTCGCAAAAACCTTTTCAGCTTCACCCCAATTCTTTTGGCCGTTGCCAGGTTGACGAGACTGTGACCCGCCCCACCGTCAACGAATATTTTAATTGTGTAGCCGTTAACCCTCCCTACGACTAGCACAGGGTAGTCCTTGTGTTCACCTACATTATTCGTCCGGGTGCGGTCGATAGCTCTGATCGGTACTAGGACACAGTGTGGATGGTGATTGTCGGGCGACAGGGTCTCGTCAGTAGGGCGCCCCTCTGCTACTGACTCCCATCTTTTCCCGACCTTCTCCGTAGTTCTTCTTCCCCTTCTTAAACTTCGAGAAGTCTCTTTTCGGGTGGCCTAGCTAATTGCATGCAAAGCATGCTCGGTGGCTCGGCTTGGCGCATCCACGCCGTTGATTATGGGCTGCTGAGTTGATCCACGAAATCAAGGGCCCTCACGGGAGCTCGATCTCGCCCACTACATCAGCGCATCCGTTGACTCGGCTTCCTGGACGGCGTCGTCAAATGTGCATGGCCGCGTTCGTAGGACCTCGAACTGTATCTCGTATTTCAAGCCCGCCACGTAGCGATCCAATCGCTTCGCATCGCTCATGTCATCCACCTGGTCGCCAAGTTGCAGAAGGTGCTAGAGTAGTCTTGGACCGAAGTGAGCAGCTTCCAGGCACGCAACTTCATGCAAGCAGAGTTCGAGGCTGATACGTGCTCGAATCCGGTTCGCAAGGCGGCGCCCCACTCCTTCTATGTGCGTATCGTGGCTGTCCCGAAAATTGAAGCTGCTCGCTGCGTGGCAGGTGTTCTTTCTGCCAAAGTCCCGTCGTTCGCACGCGTTTTTTATGCCAAAGTCCCTTCGTCTTGCAACGTCCGTCGCCACCATTCATGCAAAGGTCCTCGTAACAGTGATACTGCAAAATGTATGCGGGTGGCATCGTCATCAATCATGGCAGCATTGAAAAACACCTCCACACCGAACAACCATGCAGAAACAGTGACAAACTTGTCACTTGGGTTAAACGGGGGTGAGTTTGTCTGCTTAATTTTGATAGTTGTTAAAGCTGTCATTTCCGCCGGAACTGTTGCTCTGCTGTTGTCGTCTCCGGAGTTGTCGCTGCTGCACGTGTCGGCGCTACATGCGACAATTGCGGTGACCATTGCTGCTGCCCTTGCCTCGCATCGTCCGCATCCATGGAGCCTGCAAGTTCACTCCATACCCGCTCATCTGGCGTGGACTTGCGTCCTCATCGACAGGCAACTCCTGGTGCACTTCACCACGCGCCTGGTGTAGTTTGGTGTTTTCCTTCCTCAGGCGCTCCATTTTCACGGTCATCACCTGCATGTTGGCCTGCATCGTACGGAAATCTTGCAGGAACGCGCAGAACTCGGTCTATTGCATGTTTCCTAGGCTTTGTTGGACGGGCAGGGGTTGATTAGCAATTTTTCTGACTTCGATGAAGGCGCAAGCGCTATCATGGTCGGAGTGAAATAATCGTATCTATTTCACAGGCCGACCGCTTTGCAGCCCACCAAGTCTATCGTACCCCTCCACTAAACGACCATGTAAACGAGAGGGTAACGTAGGAAAGTAGCTCCGATACCAAGTGTTATGAGTTGTACGAATGAAGAGTGCGCAGAATGCAATATCGCGAAAGTGATTACAACGTCGAGCAAATAATGAAGCCTAGGACTAATGTACCAGAGCTAGCTAGGCGACGGTCGCGGGGTCGCCAGATGGTTAGGTGCAGGTTCGGGGTTGGAAAAACCGAAGGCGACGCGATGGTGGTTCGGAAGGCGAGGACTGTGGAGATTAACTCTACAACGGTGGGAGCTAGACTGCAGGGTAGGCACGAGTTGGTAGAGTGATCGTAGCTCTGTCTGTGTTCTCTAGAACTTGTGTTTTCACAGGGCAAAACAGCAAGAGTTTCACTAAGGAAAAGTTGACAATACAGAGTTCAGAATGATAACAAGCAGTGGCAAAGATTGACTACATCACATGCAGGGTTTGCTAGTGCTCAGGCAGGTCGATCGCCAGCACGACAAAGTCGTCGACCTACCAACGTAGCATCTCCATGGCCCGCCAACGCAGCTTGTGTGCGACTTGCCAACGCTGCAGAATGGCGGCCTGCCAACGCTGCACCCGCGCGGCTTGCGAATGCTGCATCCGCGCGGCTTGTCAATGCTGCATCCGCGCGGCTTGCCAGCACTGCATCCGCAGGTAATTGTAAGCGTATGTGCAAGCACCTACTTCGCAGGTGCTTGTAGACAGTTATGCACGACGTGCACTGTCGAGCACATTGCGCGGGTTGTCAGCCACGTGTTGACGGTTGCACCTGATGAGCCACGTCGACCACGTGCTGCCACGTCGGTCGACTTCGCCACAACAACCTCGACGACGTTCGCGACCCTCCGCAGAACCTCGTCGAGCAGGTAACTCGGTCGACCAGGTAAAGCCCTTGACAACCCTGTAGGATGATGACCTTCGTCATCACCAGTTGACGACCTTCGTCGTCGCGGGTCGACGACCTTGGTCGTCGCGGGTCGACGACCTTCGTCGACCACCTTTGTCGAACACCTCGGTCGACATTTCAAAATGTCAGCTCCTCATTGGTCGAAATTAGGGCACATTCGAATTTCTGGCCAAAATTCGTCTGTGCAGTCTCTAGGGTGCGCAGGGTCAGACGCGAACCTCTGTACGAGCTGCGCCACTTGTACGTGTGCATTAGACATCTGTGTTGCACTCGCGGATGCTTCAGTTACTCTTGCATGGATTCCCTAGTACACCTCGTGTGCAGGCAACCCTTGCACACCTGCAGAAGGTCGGCTGCACCTCCCACACACTCGACCACGAAGTCAGTTTTGCCCATGCGAGGGCGGGGCCAAATTCCTTCAACAAGGTCCTCGGACCGAGCCTGGTTTCCGAAAACCGGGGTTGTACGCGTACCGGGGTTGTGGCCGAGTAAGTATTCTCTCATGCCTTCGCTAGTGTAATCCTCGCTATCGCGTTCCATTGCACCCGTTACACCCCGTCAAGATCAATCTCTCGTAGTTTTCGATAGAGGGCGGGTTTCATGATCAGGTTTCACTTGATGTGGTTTGTGGGCTGGTGGGGGGTTGCGATAATTGCGGGGTTTGCCACCATTTCATGTCCAGGTGAGTCCAATCCAGGTTAGTCACGCCAGCCACCACCACCGAATCACCTCCGTTCCCCAGCGTAACTCTGGAAAAAGCGGCGACTCTGATATCCACGTGGCGAAAATAGATGACTTCTTTGGTGTTTGCCCCATCCAGATTACCAGAACTCACGTCAACAGTCACATTTGTCAACGCTGACAATGATCATCCTCCAGCGGATGCTGCCAGATGGCATTCCATCCTGTCCAGTGGCTTATTTATGTGTTGTTCAGCGTCCCGACTATGCCACGCAAACGGGCAAGGTGCATTCATCACTCCCATCACTCTCGCGGTTCGCGCTATTTTCAACCCGATACCATTCTCGCATCTTTCCCGCTCCTATCCATCTCGGTGCCAGAAGATATTTTTCACCTTTCTAGAGCTGGCACACAAAGCAAGGCGATTCGGGAAGACCAAACTGGGTCCGCCAAACCAGGAGCATCTCCCCTTATTCTCGCCTTAGTGACTGGAGGCCATTGTGTCACCTTGAAGTTTCCGTCGCCCTTGTATTTCTCGTTGAGGAGACCACCGTACTTTCCTCGCCTTGCCTCGGCTCCTGAACCAATTACACGAGTCTATCTATCAGCAGGAATGGCTGCTCTCGCGACCGTTTCCTCTGCCGCTGTCAGCGTTGCAGGGCTGTCGTCTATCGGAAGCGGGTGAGTTCCTGTCTCCTCATGCTCTCCTTTTTTTTCGTCCCTTTTCTCTCGGCCATTCTGTTGACTGCGTGTCGATCGGTCAAGTAACATCCATGTAGAACAACAGTTACAAGCCATTTACTTGAATAGTAAACCTCCCACGGATTCTAATCATGTTCCCTTCCATACCCACCTCCTCGCAGTGCCGCCGCCAACCATGCGTCGTCGCTCGCTCTCCGCTCGGTCTCCTTCTCCGGTCTTCGCAAGGACGACTCTCTCTCCGCCGCCGCCGCTTCGTCCTCCCTAGCGCACGCCGCCATCGCTGCCGTCAGCAGCAAGGTGAGCAGGGTCATCATGCATTGCTTTCGCATCGGCAATGCCGTTTTTTTCTCTGCGTGACTTCCTTCCATGCACGTCCTGATTCCCCGTTATTCAATAATTATACTGATTCCACTAATGCCCCACCCCTGTCCCTGTTTCCCTCCCTTGTTGCTGCTTCTCCGCCTCTCCTCCACTTTTTCCTTTCCTCTCGTTCTCTCCCCTCCCCCGTTCCGTCAACCAGCGCAATGCGCCTGTGCAGAAGCGCGCGGCAGGCGCGCGCGCAGCTGCGGCGGAGCCGGTGGTGGCGTCCGCGGCGTACGTTGCGCCGAAGAAGATCCTCATGATGGGCGGCTCGCGCTTCATCGGGCTGTACCTCGCGCGCGCGCTCGTCAAAGCGGGGCACGAGGTGACGCTCTTCACACGTGGCAAGGCGCCGGTGGCGCAGCAGATCCCGGGGGAGACGGACGCGGAGTTTGCGGAGTATTCCGCCAAGGTGAAGCACATCAAGGGCGACCGCAAGGACTTTGACGGCGTGCGCAGACTGCTGCGCGGGTCGGGGTTCCAAGTGGTGTACGACATCAACGGCCGCGAAGGCGCGGAGGTGGAACCCATTCTCGACGCGCTGCCTCGCCTCGAACAGTGGGTGGCCTTTTTTTTTTGCCTCGTGCTATGCGCCGTATGACATGCCACGCGTCATGCCATAGGCCATGCCATGGCTCTGGTAGATGTGGATGGTGTCGCCTCGTTAGTCCCTCTCGTTTTCCTATAGCCTTTTTCCGTGTCACTTATCCCATATCGCCTCTCTCCTGCCGGCCTGTCACATCTTGTTGACTGTCTCCGCTTTGGCATCTCCATTCCCCGCGACGTCACTCTCAAATCCGTGCAATCCGTGCCTTCTTGCACCTAACCCCACCAACACACCGCCTAAAACGATTTTTCGGCATGTTCAGATATTCTCTTCGCTAACCACTCGCTTTCGTTCTGCTATCTCGCTCGCATGAATCTCCCTTGCGCATCTCCCCAACCATCCCCCATTCCCTCTCCCCCCGCGCCCTCCTCTTGTGTATTTCCCAGGTACATCTTCTGCTCGTCCGCAGGAGTCTACCTCAAGTCTGACGTGCTTCCCCATCGCGAGGTAACTGACTCTCTTCCTTGTTCAACCTTATATTTCGCTTTTGAAAATCCACACAAGCGCCTCCCTCGTTTCGTCCTTTCCTCCTCTCTCCCCGCACATTTGAACCCCTTCCCTCGCCGCTTCCCCCCCTGCTCCCCCATCTTCTCGCCGATCCCACCTTGCATTTATTCACCCCACCTGCCATCCCCTTTCCGCCTCTCCCCTTTGTCTTGCGCGCCCGTTCTCTGACCCTCTCCTTCGCCAGGAAGACGCCGTCGACCCCAAGTCGCGCCACAAGGGCAAGCTCGATCCGGCTTTTGCGCCGCCTCAAAACCCGTGCCTCGTTCTCCCCCTCCCCCTTCGCCCTCCCCCGTCCCTCACCCTCTCCTTCGCCAGGAGGACGCCGTCGACCCCAAGTCGCGCCACAAGGGCAAGCTCGACACGGAGGCGCTGCTGCAGAGGCGCGGCGCGCCGTGGACGTCGATCCGCCCGGTGTACATCTACGGGCCGCTCAACTACAACCCCGTGGAGGAGTGGTTCTTCCACCGCCTCAAGGCCGGCCGCCCCATCCCCGTGCCCAGCTCCGGCATGCAAGTCACGCAGCTCGGCCACGTCAAGGTGCGAACGGAAAAGGGAGAAGCAAGGGGTTGGAGGAACGAAAAGGGAGCGTGGGGATGAGGGTTCTGGCCGTGTGGTTTCAGGGGCGCTAGCGCGCACGTGAGAGGGGCTTGGGTGAGGGGGAGAGGAGGAGGGGACGCGTGCGAGGTCGGGGCGCGGTCGCCCCCGCGGCCGGGCGCGCGCAGGGGTGGAAGGAGAATGATGGGGGTAGAAGTGCACACCCATTGGGGGCCATGGGATGTATGTCTAAACCGATAGCGAGCGAAGTCTGAGAGGGCATTTGCTTTTGGAGTGGGTCGGCCGAGCGTAGTGCACTCATTTACCAGCACCTCGTCTCGTTGGGTTCCGCCATTAGTTCACCAAACCAGCGTTTCATTGCCCGTGTTTACCGCGGATAGCGCGCACGCGAAACGAACCCAGAAACAGACCAGTACGCCAAGCGTCACTCGCAAACCCGTACACTCCACTACTCCCACATCGCCAGCGTACCACTCCATCTACCTCTCCACCCGTGCACTCCACCTCAACCTCGCTCCCCCCTGTCGTCCCACTCCCCGTCACTCTTCCCTGTCGTCCTCTCTCTCCCCCCCCCCCGCCACCCGCAGGACCTGGCGAGGGCGTTCGAGCTGGTGCTGGCGAACCCGCTGGCGATCGGCGAGGTGTTCAACATCTCGGGCCCTCGATACGTGACGTTTGACGGCATCGCGAACGCGTGCGCGGAGGCCATGGGCGCGCCCAAGCCCACGCTCGTCCACTACAACCCCAAGGACTTCGACTTCGGCAAGAAGAAATCCTTCCCGCTGCGCGACCAGCACTTCTTTGCGAGCAACGACAAAGCGGAGGATCTCCTCGGGTGGCGCCCGCAGTACGATCTGGTCGACGGGCTCCGCGACTCGTACCAGCTGGATTTCGGCCGCGGGACCTTCCGCAAGGCCGCGGATTTCTCCGTGGATGATATGATTCTGGCGAAGCTGGGCGTGAGCTCTTCGTCGTCTTCCTCCTCCTCCTCTGCATCCTCCTACTCTTCCGCCTCGTCTGGTGCTTCTGCGAGCGGCAGCGCGGCCACCGGAGCGGGTGTGAGCTTGGCGCAGCTGCAGACGATGCCTGTGCCCATGCTCAATGCGCTGGCTCGCGCCCGAGCCATTCACGCCACCTCCCGTCCCGACCTCATCCGCCGCCTCGCCGCTGCTGGCGCAGGCGCAGGCGCAGCCGCAGGAGCGGTAGCGGGAGCGGGTGTGGGAGCGGGTGTGGGTGTTTCGGGAGGTGCCAGTGGTGGGAGTGGGTTGAGTGTGGCTGACTTGGAGAGAAAGAGCATTGGGGAGCTGAGGGCTCTGGCGCGGGCGAGGGGCGTGAGGGGTGATACCAAGGCCGAGCTTGTTAAGCTGCTTAGCTCCGGTGCTGCTCCTGCTGCTGCAGCTGCTCCCAGGTAAGACTTCGTTGTGCTTCTGCTCATGATGGGTGCTTGTGGTAAGTTCATGCTCTGGTGCGTCTCCTGCTACTCTCCCTAAACCATGTACAACAGCCCAAAGACTCGATGTGATCCTCTCCTCTCTGTGCCTGTGACTTCCATGTCCCGTATATGACAATCAGCCCTGCTGCCTCGTGGAGTGCCCCAGCAGCACCGGCTGCCAGCAGCAGCAATGGCGCGGGTGCTGCGCTGTCGGAGAAGCAGCTCCTGGCCAAGTCAATGGGCGAGCTGCGTGCCCTGGCTGCACGTCAGGGCATTCGCGGAGGCAACAAGGCTGAGCTCGTCAAGGCACTCGTTGCCGCTAACAAGTAGTTCCTGGTGCTGCTGTTGCTGCTATTGTGGTGATTGCAACTACGTAGCTCAGACAATGGTGGGGAAAGAGCAGTGGTTCTTTACCTCTGGCGTTTTTAATTTCCCCAATTTTTTCAATGTTAGGATTGTTGGAAGGCCTTGTACACTGCAGATGTGGTTGTGGTGATGATAAAGATGTGATCTATTCAGACTCGTCACTGCATTTTGTAACTGACACGGCAAATGTTATAAGTTGTGAAAGGAAAGAGTGCGCAGAACTCAATAATGCGGAAGTGATTACAACGTCTGAATGAACAACGAGGCCTAGGCACAATATAGCAAGGCTAGCTAGGCCGAGGTCGCGGGGTCGCGAGATGGTTGGGTGCAGGTTCGGGGTTGGAAAACCCGAAAGCGACGCGGTGGTGGCTCGGAAGGCGAGGTCGGCGGGCCAAGCCTGGTTTTCCGAAAGTCGGGGTTGTACGCGTACAGTGTGACCCAGTAAGGAATCCGGAAAATTCCTTACACTACCCCCCCCTTTAAGAAAGGTGGTGAATATCCGAAACACCTCGGCGGGCCAGGTAAGCGTCCAAAACCGGGTGTCCCAGTAGCGAATCAGCAGCGACATACGTGTCGTCCTCGCTCGTGCGGTCTTTCCAGCGAAGCAGGAATTTCACCGAGCGGCCGGCGGCAGTCACATCCACGCGATGGTTAAGAATCTTCCAAGGTTCCAGCGTTGGCTCTGCCACGGGGCGAGTGGTCGGCGCGATGGTTGGTCGAGCAACAGCTGGCGACTGCGGCTGTTCGTAATGACGCAACAGGCTGACGTGGAAGGCGTCATGGATTTTCCAATCGTCGGGCAGCAGCAGCTTCGCGGTGACAGGTGGCACCATCTGGATGATACGGAATGGTCCCATGTATCGGGGCCGTAATTTCGCGGGCTGCGGCAGCCGAAGGTTCTTGGTGTCCAGAAGTACAACCTGCCCTGTGCGGAAGGGTAAATTTCGTCGGTGTTTATCCGCCTGGCGACTGGCCGTGGTATTAGCCTTGCGAATGAAATCGGCTGCTTTCGTTCGGGCGGTTTGCAGTTCCGTGACAAACTGCTGTGATCTTGGTACCGGGTTGTCCACAGTCGTTGAAGAGGGTACCACGGGGTCTATCCCGTAATTCAGGAAGAAGGGTGATTGTTTAGTCGTGGCCGACGGGGCGTTGTTGTACGCGAATTCCAGCATCGGCAGCGAATCTTCCCACTTGCGAATGTCGGGGCAGTTGGTGCGAATCAGATGTTCCATGGTCTGATTTGTCCGTTCCGTCTGTCCGTCGGTTTGCGGGTGGTATGACGACGAAAACTGCAGGCGGGTACCGTACTGTGCCCACGTTTCCTGCCAGAACTTCGACGTAAATTTCGGATCACGATCGCTGATGATCGCCGAAGGTAACCCGTGTAGGCGTACGACGGTGGAGATGAACAGTTTGGCTGTATATCTTCGGCTGTGATCGTCGTTCGGCATGGGGCGAAATGCGCCATCTTCGTTAGGCGATCGACGACGACCAACACCGAGTCGTTGCCACTCGTGCCAGCTGGGAGCCCCGTGACGAAATCCATCGTCACCTGTTGCCACGGTCGTTCGGGTGGCGCGAGGGGTTGCAGCAGTCCGGCTGGCCTTTGTCGCGACGACTTCATTGCTTGGCAGGTCGGGCAAGTTGACACGTAGCGCTGCACATCGGTCTGCATGTCCGGCCAGTAATAATTCCGCTGCAGCAGCTTCAGTGTCTTGTCGGTGCCGAAATGCCCGGAGAGGTTGGAGTCGTGAATCTCCTGCGTCAGCAGCTCCCGTAAAGGCTGGTATGCTGGTACCCAAATCCGGTTCGTACCGGTTTTTAGGTAGTATTTGCCGTGCGGTGTAGCAGCCTGTTGTTGCGGGTTCCGAAAAAACCTGTCGATCTTGTAGCCGTGGGTGAATAGTCCTGTTAGCATCGGGTTGGTGTGGGCGATTAGTACCGCCGCGTTTTGCATGGATGGTCGGGTAAGGGCGTCGGCGATGTTGTTGGCGCCCTTTTTGTACGTGATGGTGTACCGGAAATTGGATTCGAGGAAGTCCAACCACCGGATTTGTCGCGGGTTGAGTGTCGGTTGCGTGCGCATGTACTGTAGCGATTTATGGTCGGTCCGAATCGTCACGTCGGCTCCTGTGAGGTAGCAGCGCCAGACGCGAAATGCATGGACGATGGCCAGCATTTCTTTGTCGTGTACTGGGTAGTTGCGCTCAGGTGGCTGCATCTTGCGTGACTCGTAGGCGATGGGTTGCAGCCCTTGGCCGAAGTCCTGTAGGAGGACGGCGCCGACGGCGAAATCGCTGGCGTCCGTGACGACTTCGAACGGTCGAGATGGATCGGCGAGGCGGAGTACCGGGGGTGAACCCAAAATGTTTTTAGGGCGTCGAAGGCGGATTGCTCCCTCTCCCCCCACCTGAAATCACTGTCGTGGTGCAGCAGGTCGGTCAGCGGCTTGGTTATCCCTGCCATATTGGGTACAAAACGACGAACGTAGTTAACAAACCCCAGAAAACTTTGCAACTCAGGGATATTAGTAGGCGGCTTCCACTTAACGATGGCGTCCACCTTACGCGGGTCGATTTTAATCCCTTCGCCAGAAACCACATGCCCCAAAAACTCTAATTCCGGCTTCAGGAACTCACACTTAGACCCCTTTGTAATTAGCCGATGCCCCTGTAAACGCCGGAACACCTCCTCTAAATCCCGCAGATGGTCCTCTTTTGTCTCGCTGTACACCAGGATATCGTCCAGGTACACGATGACCTTCTTGTCCAGCATGTCCCGAAAAATTCCATTCATGGTGAGCTGGAACATCGAGGGCGCGTTTGTCAGGCCGAACGGCATCACTGTGAACTCGTAACTGCCGTAGCGTGTGCGAAAAGCGGTCTTCGGGCAGTCGTCGGCGAATACGCGAATTTGGTGGTAGCCTCCCCGCAGGTCGATTTTCGAAAAATACCGAGCTCCGCGAAGTTGATCCAGCAGATCGTCGGTTCGCGGGATCGGGTAACGCGACTTTATCGTGACCCGATTCAGCGCTCGATAATCAATGCACATGCGTAGGCCACCGTCCTTCTTCGGCGTGAACAGTATCGGTGCTGCATACGGCGACGTGCTGGGCCGGATAAATCCCTTGGCGAGCAGGTAATCCAGCTGGGCCCGCAACTCGGCGAGTTCTGGTTGACTGAGCCGCCACTGTGTCCGCACAGTAGGTTGCGCGCCGGGCTCCAGCTGGATCCGATGATCCTCAGGTCGTTGGGGGGGCAAACCATCCGGGAGGTCATCCGCGAAAATTTCGGGATACTTCCGAATAATGCTCGCCAATTCCTCGGGGACTGCCGCGCAGAGGGTGTCGATGTCCGCGATTTTCTCGGAAGCTGCCACTTCGTACAGGTGCACTAAGAAGGCCTGAGCTCCGCTGTTCATCGCACGCTGCATGTTGACCGCGTTGACACGTGTCGTCACCGGCTCCGGCTCCGTCCATTTCGGAAGCGTCGTCTTCCCTCCGTATCCTCGCACGACGCACGCCCCAGTCGTCCAGTCGATCGTCGGATTGAAGCGCTGCAGCCAATCCCTCCCCAGCAGCACATCGCAGCCGTCCAACGTCGTCGCCAACATCCTCATGCCAAACCCGAATTTGTCGCCGCACTGTATCCGAATTTTTCGCGCCTCATCTCGGATGGCCAGCGGTGTCCCGTCCACCAACCTTGCATCGATCTCTGGCAGACACCTGGTCAGCTTCACCCCCATTTTTTTGGCCGTTGCCAGGTTGACGAGACTGTGGCTCGCCCCACCGTCAACGAAGATTTTAATTTTATAACCGTTAACCCTCCCTACCACCAGCACAGGGTAGTCCACGTGTTCACCCACGTTATTCGTCCGGTTCTGGTCGATAGCGCTGATCGGTACCACGACCCGGTGTGGATGGTGATTGTCGGGCGACAGGGTCTCGTCAGTAGGTGGCCCGTCTGCTACTGACTCGTATCTTTTCCCGACCCTTCTCCGTCGTTCTTCTTCCCCTGCTTAAGCCTCGGGCAGTCTTTTTTCAGGTGGCCCAGCTGGTTGCATAAAAAGCACGACCCAAGGGCTCGGCTAGGTGCATCCACGCCGTTGATCGTGGGCTGCTGAGTCGGTCCACGAAATCGAGGGCCCTCCCGGGAGCTCGATCTCGCCCACTGCATCAGCGCATCCGTTGACTCGGCTTCCCGGACGGCGTCGTTGAAGCTGCGTGGCCGGGTTCTTCGGACCTCGTACTGTATCTCGTATTTCAGGCCCGCCACGTAGCGATCCAACCGCTCCGCGTCGCTCATGTCGTCCACCTGGTCCGCCAAGTTGCAGAATTTGCTGGTGTAGTCTTGGACTGAAGTCAGCTGCTTCCAGGTACGCAGCTGCATGCGAGCAGAGTCCGAGGCGGATACGTGCTCGAATCTGGTTCGCAAGGCGGCGCCCCACTCCTTCCATGTGCGTATCGTGGCCGTCCCGAAAATCGATGCTGCTTGATGCGTGACAGGTGTTGAAGTCCCGTCGTTCGCACGTGCTATTCCTGCCGAAGTCCCTTCGTGTTGCAGCGTTCGCCTCCACCACTCCAGCGCAGGTCCTCGCAACAGTGAAACTGCGAAATTAATGCGGGTGGCGTCGTCATAAATCATAGCAGCATTAAAGAACACCTCCACACCGAACAACCATGCAGAAACAGTGACAAACTTGTCACTCGGGTTAAACGGGGGCGGGTTTGTCGGCTTGATTTTCACAAAAGCCGTTGTTGCCATCGGGGCCGTTGGCATTGCTGCTGGCGTCGCCGTCGTCGTCGCTGCTGCACGTGGTGGTACTGCACGCGACTGTTGTGGCGACTGTTCCTGCTGCGCCTGCCTCGCTTCGTCCGCATCCATCTCGCCTTCCAGCTCGCTCCAGACCCGCTCATCTGGTGTAGTGCTGCTACTTGCGTCGTCCACGACAGGCGACTCCTGACG